AGGACCCAGATTGTTGGGGGCAATATGCTGACTCTCTGTAAACCGCTTAGAGAGGCCTGAAAGGCCTATGAAGCGGTATATAAGTCTACTGCTATTATGTGCTTTTGTCCTTTAAAATCTATATTTTATTCCTTACTTTGATGTAATGTATTGTTGAGAAGCATGCAGTAAAATGGAACCTTGAATTTGTAATGTTTTAAGGGAAAGTTTAATTGATGTCAAGTGCAATAGAAATAGGTTTTCTTCCAATCATTATGTTAATACTATTTAGATCACTGTTGCCGAATAGATAAAGGAATGTAGCTGATGACAGAGAAAATGTTTTGTTGGTTTAAAGGGCAAATCAGGTTTTGAGTTAGATAAATCAGACATGAGCTTTATTTGAACTTTTGTCCTTGGAAGGAACTAAAATAATTTTCTAATCCATCTAAAACGAATAAGTTAGATTTTACCCATCTTAGTGAATAAGATAGCAGCCAAAAACATTCTGAAACATATTGTTAAGAGACTGCATGATTTTGTTTTTAATGTGAAAATTTTGTTATTTTACAACAAGGATAAAAACATGATAATTTTATGTATTTATTCATTTATGTATTTATTACAGGTATATGCCACCCATCTTCATAGTGGCTCTGGGCAGTTTATAATAAATACAATAATCCATCTCCTTCAGATAATATTTTTACCTTTAGTAAATAAATCTTATCTTTGCCTTAATAAGTGTAAGCTTATTAATACATAAAATTGTGTTATTATTTAAATGCAGAGTTTTTAACAGATCCAAGGCCTATGATCCCAAGGGTCTAAATCTTGACTCATTATGTAAGTGTTCGGAATAACAACTGCAATGAGAGGCAAACATTGCATAATGATAGTGCTAATTATTCATTTTATTTGTATCTGAATGGCATTACAGAGTTCACTTTAAAATTAAAACTAAGGAGTCATCGTTTTCATCCCCCACTACCACAAATGAAAAGAAAAGAAAACAAGACTTATTCTAGATAATATCACATCGTAGTGATACAACATACCTGGACATAATGTGGTGCAAGCTATTTTCTGCAAATTTTGGCCTTCACAGAAGGTTCCTCCATTGAGGGGTGCTGGATTGGTACATGTTCTTGTACGCTTCTGAAAGCCTTTTCCACAACGGCTGTTACATACTGACCACTCTGTCCATGTTGACCATCCACCGTTGACTGAGAAGTAAGGAAAGTAGGAAAATGACTTAAATGAAGAACTGACAATTTATGAAGCCTACAGTCTTCTATGAATTAAACTTTTTGTGTGTGTGAAAAAGGGAAGTTTATATATTTCTTTTATGCTTGCTTGGATTTCAAAAGCGGATAATAAAAGAAACAGTAATATCACAACAAAGCAGTGATGGGATGTAGGCAGTGCGCCACGGTACAAGTGTACCGGAGCCTTCCCGGAACACCGGATACTGTTTTGGTATGGTGCTCCGGAGGGCCCATCTGCCCGCCCGAGCTCCTTACCAGTCTTTTAAGTCTTTGGCGCTTCCGTGCATGGCCCGTACAGTGCCTGTGCGATGCTCTGCTGAGCAGCTGGAGCATCGCGGAGGCTCACAAAGGTGCTAAGATGCAAGCATGCACTACGTGCATGTGCATGCACGCTGTGCACATCTATGTGGACGCTACCGGGTTCCAACCATACCAGTTGGAATGGGATCTGGAACCCACTACTGCAACAAAGGTACTAACTTCGACCTTTAACATGTAACCAAATGAGATGAAAATCTGGACAAAACTAGTTTCTGCAGATTGAAAATTCATTAATCTTTGGATCACTTAGGAAATAGATACCTCTTAGAAAAACCTTCCCTATTTGGATAATCAGACAGAGCCTGCACAGGATCTTCACCTACCAAGAGTTGTCCTGATTATTGTTGCGGCCTACCAGCTTCACCTAGTGCATATTACAACTATTTGAAGGATTGTTCTGAAAATAAGGCTCATGATGTGTAGATCAACTTTATATAAATAAAGTTAAATAAATAAATAAAGGCGGCATATAAATAAACTACTACTACAACTACTACAACTCTTGGATGGATAAAACCGGCATGCAATTTGCCTGTATTGCCTACTCTCACTATACAATTTCACAACTTCTGTATAGGTTAAAGTAAAATAAATACATATTTTAATGAGAACCATTTAAAAAAATTGGATGACCTCCATACCAACTAAGTAATATACTAGCACTAACTTTAATAATAGAGAATCAAACATGTAAACTGCCAAGGAACCAGGCCCTGCTATATGAATCAAATATCATTTATCATAAGTAATTAAGTGAGCTTAGGAAAAGGAAGTGCAGGTTCGTAGGAATTTCTCCAGCATGGACGACATCAAGAGGGGCATTGCTTGGCCAACTGGCAAGGCTATGGGCACTGAAGTTGCTTCATTCACTTTTATTGACATGCCACTGGGACTCTAATTCAAAGTATATGTCATTTTTGAATCAAATATTGAAAATTATTGCATATTAGCAGGTGATTTCAGGTCTAAGGAAAAGATACATATAACCAATAAGAGCCTTTCCTTACTTCTCAAGTGAGATATGAAGTGACTCAGATAGTCACTTCATAATAGCCATTAAGACTGTTCAATTTCCACTGTTCAATTTCCACTTCCCCTTAGGATGACCAGTAATAGATTCCCCCTTTTCTATGAAGCTTCCTTACGTTTCAGAGTATTTTTACGCTAGCTGATGAAGCTGAAAATTGAGTCATCCAAATTATACTGATAAATCGGAATTTACTCTCTCTTGAATTCAATGTTGCAAGTGATTCTGAACAACTATATCAGCAAAGGTAAGTAGTCACATAAAATTTCAAAGATTTCCACCTTAATATTGTAGGGGACAATATAGGTTCTTCTCTACCCAAATAATTCCATGGACAGTATTGTATAGATACTAATCTATTGTTTGCTCTTGCTACTACAGTATGGAGAGAGATAAAGAATACTCCCCAAAAGTCAATATGTGCTTTATTGGTTATAGAAGACCCTTGACATATAGTTACCATGTCAAGCTATGGAATGTACATAGGAAATGGACCAGTTAGGAAATCAAGCTGAACATAGTGAAACTGATTGTCTCCAGCTTGCGAAAGGAGTAAGACAAGGCTATATACACCCCCTTTATTTGTTTAACTTATAAATTGGATCAGAATTAGACAAACATAATTTAAAAATTGGAGGAAGGAACATCAACATCCTGGCTTATGCTGGTAACACTATGCTGTTAGCTAAAAATACAAATAAACTGCAACCTCTAGTAAGGAATGTCAAGAGCCCACAGTGGAAAAATGGGACAAAGATTACATTCAAAGAAAGCCAAACTAATGACAGCAGGTACAACAATGGTCCTTAGAACTGAGAATAAAGATATTGAAGTGGTGGATGATTTCTGTCTTTTAGGATCAACTGTCAACACTAAAGGAATCAGCAGTCAAGAACTACGTCGCACATTAGCATTTGGTTTAGTAGCAATGAATCCTGAAAAATATATTCACATCAATGGTGGCTGAACCGGTCCAAACTGGTAGGCCTGGGTCATAGGTGCCACCATCTTGCTTTTGGCTTCTGTGCATGCACAGAACAATTTTTATTTGCTCATGGCTGTGCTCGCAGTGCAGCCACGAGCGAAACAGCAGCAGTGGCTGCTAGAACCCACCCCACCCCTGATTCAGATGCCATCATCTTAATCTAGACAAGGCAGATTAGTGCAGGCAATAGTTTTACTTTTACTTTTCACTCTATGAAACCTGGCTTTTGAAGAAGCACTGAAAGAATATTTATGCTTTTGAACTTTGTTGTTCAAAAATGCTTGAGAATAAAGGGAATAACCAATCCCGCTCCCCCCGCCCCATCGCCCCAAATAATGGATCATGGAACAAATACGAACATGCAAAGAAAAAATGACCAGGCTCACATGCCTATAAAATTGGAAAAGATGCAAAGAAAGAGAAGAGAAAAAAATAGTACAACCAGCAACAAAATAGACTCAACCACAGGGATGATGGGTTGAAGGGCAACTTCTTGGAGAAGAAGCGAAACGTCTTCAAAGAAAAACTGGAAAGCCCAGTTGCCTCTTGAAAAAAGTACCTTTAAGATGATCCTGGAGGAAAAAAAATCTATCTACAACAACTAACTTGATGGCACATCAGCTAATTAATACTTTGATGCTAAGGGCCACATGTTAACTTCTTAAATACTTAGAAACCAAAGAGAGTATGGTGTGTGTCAAAAGAAAGTTACCTAGTCAAATTTCTGTTTCACAGATTAATCTGGAATAATTTCTAAAATTTTATAAATTCTCCTGGATCAATTACTATTTGACGATATTCCACTTTATAGATGGAATAACCTTTAAATGAAATTCAGTGTTTCACTTTTTGTGGCAGTAACCCATTAAATTCTATGCATTAAACCAGTTTCATAAGTTTACAATTTGGAAAATAATACCTGCAATTTATCTGTGCAAGGATTAAGCTTCCCAAATCTATTACCCCCTGCTTTTCATAGCATTTCCCTTCTGCATTTTTACATTCAGACCAATTCCTCAGCTAAATGCGCTGCAATTAATGTGGTTATCCAAATGATTTAGCTTCTTTCAGCAGAGTGTTTCAATTCCATATCAAGTGATATACGCAATAATATAATTCATACATTTTGCACCAACTTAATGATTAAAAAAATAGGAAAAATGCTATATTATTACAGAATGTATCTGATGTTTTTATTCTTAAATTTAAAATGTCAAGTTAAAAAAAGATGTATAGTTTAGGACTTATCACAAAACAGCTTTATGTATCAAGCATTTGTCTAAAAGATAAAAAGACTTTGATGCTCTTGAGATGACTCTTTATCATCACTGATGGTGGGGAAGAATACTACTGCTGCTCTTGCTTTCTCTAATTACATCATTTGGAAGGGTTCCCTGGCTATTTACCTACCCTGTCCAAGGTTTCAAAAAAGGGGAGAAATTCTTTATAGGGATTTAATTGAAGCGAGGAAGCTAATAGGTACAGACTGCGAACAAGTTGTTAGATTTGTTGAATCACACCACTGCTTGTAGAAAAATAAGTGCAAGAACCCAATGGTGAAATTCTGTTCTTCTTTGAAAGAAATATTGAAAGAAATATTATTTATCATGAAATTGAATGAAAAGAGATGGAACAATGTAGGAATAATTATTCTTTATGGCATTGCAACAGATAGAAAACTTTGGATGTTCTTTGTGGACAGAGAAAATGAGAGTAGGTGCAATCAGGCAACAGTTATTTATTTCCTTTTTCCTACTTTTATGTCTCTCTTTTTCCCTCCTACTCTACCTATAACTCAACAGGAAGAATGCCATGCTGATCTTAAAGGCTAAGTATAATATATGTTCTGGTTCTAATTGCAGGCAAATTGAAAACTGTAAGGCTGTATTATTCAAGTTGCCTTAGTTTTAAGCTTTTCATAAACACAGTGAAATTTGAAAGCATGGACAGGGAGGTTCCAGTAAAATGAGGGGAACAAAACTCAGAGGTCTGTGGAGTTCCCCCCTCTCAAACCAACTTGTTTTAATTAACTACAAAATGAAAGACATTCTACTTTCATTATAAATTGCCTATATATTGTTTCTAGGCTTCATCTAAATATACAGAGCAGAATAAAGTAATATTCAACTTTAAAAGTCCATCAGTTAAATTTCTCATGCCTGCATGGATTAAATTTTGTTTATACATAGACTAAAATCTATAAATAACCCAAATATGTGACCTCTTACCATAGACAATGACAGCAGCAGTGGTGCTCTTCCTTTTTGCCACAATATTTTTGGCAACACAAGTATAATTGGCTGTATCAGAGAGACGTGCCTGCTTTATGATCAAGTTGTGGTCAATAGTGATATAAAAATTTCGATCTTCAACAGGGTCTATCACCTCTTCATTTTTCAGCCACTCAACCTGTTGAGAGATTCACAAATGGGATCAGATATAGCATTTTCACGTGAAGCACTCTGGTGAACTATGTTTTTAATTACATGTATTTATATTTTTTGACAGATTAATAATACAAATTCAACCAGCAATTGTCAATAATCTTCTTCTAGGACAGCTGAGAGGTCTTGATTTAGACCACAATTGAGCCCAATATTTTTTACTGCTAAGCAATACAGTTAAATGAGTTGTGTCCCATTTCACAACCTTTTTGCCACAGTTAGTAAGTGAATCATTGCAGTCATTAAGTGAACCATGTGGTCCTTAAGCGAATCTGGCTTTCCACATTTGACTTGGCTTATCAGAAGCCAGCTGAGAAGATTACAATGGTGATCACATGACCCTGGGATAGTCCAACTGACATAAATACATGCTAGTTGTCAAGTGCCCAAATAGTGATCACATAAACATGGAGATGCTACAAAAGTCATAATTGTAAAAAAAGGTCATAAGTCACTTTTCCATTGTTGTTGGAGCTTTGAATAGTCATTAAAGAAATAGTTGCAAGTCGAGGACATAAGTTAAACATATTTCACCAAAATATAGTGGATACAGGAAAAATGTCTGGTTGAAAAGGCCTGTAAGGTAGTTGTTACCTTTATACTTCTTTTTATTTCATGTATACTTTTCAGAATTCATTGTGAGAACTATCAGTGGTCAATAGCCTTAGGGACATGAGGAGACCATGTATTGGAAAGGCAAATCTAGATTTCCTATCAAGAATCCTCAAATATACTCTATTTTGAATTGTAATTATTTTTATCCTACTTTTCAATCGGGGTGCAATGGCTCGGTGGTTAAAGATGCTGAGTTTGTCAGCTGGAAAGCACTTTCAACTTGGCCCAACTCCTGTCCACCTAGCAGTTCGAAAGCGTGCAAATGCGAGTAGATCAATAGGTACCAATTCAGTGAGAAGGTACAGCATTCTGTGAGCATACAGTCATGTTGGTCACACGACCACGGAAATGTCTTCAGACAATGCTGGCTTCCTCGGCTAAGAAACAGAGATGAGCATTACCTACTAGAGCCGGACACAACTGGACTGGGGAAACCTTTACCTTTTACTTTACCTTTCAGTAATGTTCTTTGGAAGCTGAACAGTGAGTTTTTAAATTTAAAGAAAAACAGCATTCGGTGACCTCTTTATGGGAAGTGATTCTCTGGCCCTTTATAAATACATTTTATTTATTTCATTTTCATTTTCATTTTATACAATCACTTATATACTGTGCNAGAGGAATTCACTTTAAATTAAATAAAAGGGGTTTTATTGGGATGAGGAGTCAGCTTCATGCTTTGGAGAAGCCTAGGTCAGCCTAGGTCAGACCAGCTGGAGGAACAAAGTACACTATTTCTTTCTCTTGATTTGACTTTATTTGATAGGAGTTAGATGTTCCTTATGATCAGCCAAACAAATCTAAATTCCTTGTTCTGCTCATGTAAATTATACGAAAGGTTATAACTTACATTCTTGCAGAGTCTTTTAACAACTGCATGCTGTTAAAAATGGTGTGTGTATGTGTGTAAATTGCGGTGATCACATTATGGCCAATAGTACTTGTAAGAAAGTTTCTTGAAGGGTAAAAGAAGGAGGAAGGTACAAGAAGCCTGATTCATTAAAGTTCTTTGTTTATCATCATATCAATGGACCATTGATATTAATAGGCCATCGCCACCAGTGAAAAAACGTTGTTTGTAAGAAAACTTAGCATATTTAGTACCCCGTAGTATAATTACTAGGTGGAATAATAAATAATTAGATACATTCGCAATCAGCTAGTCATGCTGATATGTATGGCTTCTTGTTACATGTGAACATTATGGCATTAAACAAACCATTGCTTAGCTCAAGATTATAATCTAGCTGTAGTTTGCCTTTGATTAATCTAATAATAATGCATGCAGGGTGGCAAATTACATATTACTTTTAATGTACAATATTTAGCGAACTTTGTTTGGGCAACCCATGGGAAATGAAGTAGGCTGGTGCTTTATTCTGCAAGCAGAAAAGACCCCTTCATTTGCTTCAATGGGGGCTTTTGGTTTCTTATTCAGGAAAAAAGTCCCAGCATGCTATGCATTAAAGGCAGTGTTTATTTTGTCTCTAGGCAGAATTGCACTCTGTGATGAAAAGAATAGCCTCTCTTTAGTTAACCACTTGTCTTGAAGAATACCATGTCCACCCCAGCGTCCCCCCCCCCCCAAGGTCAAACACAACCCTGATTCGGCCCGCAATGAAATCGAGTTTGACACCCCTAATATACAGAGTCTAAAACGGCCTTGTTATTTAAAGTATCACCTTTCTCCCATGGTTTTGTCTATCCTATAAGCTCTGATAAGAGTTTGCATGCTACAGGTCCCATATTTGGGTGTCAGAGATGGCATGCTTCAGTATTTGCCTTTTGAAACAGAATACTCCAAGACAGCTGAACAGTTCAAACCCTAATTTCTTTCCGAAATGACTCTTTCCCCAGACATTGGACTAAGGAATGCTGTGAGCTCATTACATGGTGGTTTTCATGTTACAGAATTTGTTTTTTTCTCCATTTTCTCTTGCCTTTAGTTTTGATTGTTATTGATTTTTACATTTGTAATCTGCACGTTTCTCAGAGTTACTCAAGCGGCTAGCCTGCAAATATCATTAACGAGTAAAATAAATACAATTTTATTCAAGTGCTTTCCAGGGAAATACACAGAATCACCAAATGCAACTGCGTGCATGTTTTCAAATTCTATATTTACTGTTGTTGATTCCCCAGTATTTTAGATAAAGACACAACTAATTAAGAAGAAAAAACTTAACAAGACTATAATAACATAATCATGATCTTCCCTTTAAAAATCCATATGCACCTATATGTTCAAGCAGAAACTAACTCTTTTGCAATGAAATTTGGTATCTTTTCTATCTAAAGGATTGTTATCCTGATTTCCATCACAAACTAATGTGTGAAATAGATATAATAATACTAATACAACAATTTATTATTACAGTCTTAGATCAGCGACCAGAACAAATAAAAACACTCAGTTTTATATATATATAAAACTTCTAGTATAAAATAATAAATAACAACTAAAATCTATAATTAAAATCCAGTGTCAATTATACATGGTCTGACTATAAGATAGTTGCAATTCCTAAACTGTGTGGACCATTGTAGGTTCAATGCTAAAAGGGAAGTGACTAAGCAGTGCAAAGGGTTTACCACAATTGTTATATAACTTAACTATGGTGGTGAAGAAACGTGTTTGCAACGAATCCACAGTGCTGCTGCGCAGACTTTAGCCACCTGCACTGTAGTTATGGACTGTTCATCTTTAAGCAGCTAATGGAGATAGGTAGTGTTGGAACAGCCAGGATACCTAACAGTTATTGGCAGAATATGTTTTTTTTCCTAATCTCCATATAAAAGGAACATATACTAATACATTTCATACATTTTGCGATGTTGCTCTTGTTATCCTTTGCATCCTGCCATATACCATACTTTTTGGACTATAAGACACACCAGTGTATAAGACGCACCAAGATTTCAAAGAGGTAAGTAAGAAAAATAGTTTTTGTCCTCCGGGCCAAAAAAAAAAAGGGGGGGGGGAGGACAGAAAACGGGCATTTTTTTGCAAAAACGGGGACATTTTTGCCTTCCTCAAGCCCTGCTGAAGCCTTCAGCAGGGCTGCTGGGGGAAGGCAAAACCCCCTCCGTTTTTGTGAAATTTTGCAAAAATGGGATGTGGGGGTGGGGCTTCACGAGGCCAAAAATGGCTGTATTCTGTATATAAGACACACCAACATTTCCACTCTCTTTTAAGGAGGAAAAAGGTGCATCTTATACTCCGAAAAATATGGTATATATAAGATACTGGGGCAGGATGCAGGGGATAATAATTGCAGTAATAATTGCAATAGTAAGAATGTCAGTATCAGAAAGGTTTATGTTTTCCATCATTTTTAAACTAAGGTACAGAGCAATGAGAAAAATGATAATGTGGACTTATGAATGAACACATGCAAAGCAACAGAGACCCCTATTCACAATACAGCTAGTACTTTTTTGGGGTCAGGTGCCAACTACAGTCAAGAACAAGATAAAGAGGATATTTTGCTCCTCATAAAAACATCTCTCCTAGCTTAAATGCCAGGCTGAGTAAACCAATAAATGGAGGGCTTTAGATGTCACGACCCAACACGAACTACTGACTGTACTAATTCTGTTGGAATTTTGAGGGACATCTGAAGGTCAATTCCTTCCATGCTCAAACTAGCAGGAAGCTATAATCCAAACACATCGAAAAAGGGATTAGAAGAGCACAGGGGATGACTTGTTATTGCCAAGCTATGCCAAACCTTTTAAAGGTGAGTTTATTCCTCTGCTATGGAGAATTTCATTTGAATTTGTTCCAGTGCAGAGTTACATGAATTGTTTCTTTCTTCAAATATCAAGAGCAGCCTAGAGCTCTAAAGTGGTTTCACTCTGTCTGTCCATCCCAAATGGCAATGTCAACAAAGCAGCATTAGGGTACTTTCACTTACTCTGCATACACAGCCCATCTGTGCAGTTCTTGGACTGCAAGACAAGGCCCTCACAGTCTCTGCCGCCGTTCTTGGGTGCTGGTGCGGTGCAGCCCCTCCTGCGCCAGTGGGTACATTCTGTTCCACAGGTAGACCATTTACTCCATGCTGTCCACCTCCCATCCACTGTCATAAGAAAATGGAAAAGATGTAAAGGCAAAATATAAAGACAAAATGAGGTGGGAGTGGAATAAATAGAAAATACCCAGAATTTAAAAATAAAAAAGGATTTTACGTGAGACTCTATAAGGAGCCTGCTTACTGAAAATACAGATAATAAAAGTGACATTCTTTCCTTTCCTTCCCCATTGTTTTTTCCCCCCTTCCTTTCCTTATTTTCTTTCCTCTCCTCTCCCCCTCTTCTCAATTCAATTCAACTCTGGTCACATCATTT